CTATATAAAGATATGAGTTACGTTGATACGGTTATTAACAACTTTGTCGACATCGAATATCGACAATATTTAGTTTTGAATTTTTTTACACATTAATCGATGTGTTTTCTCAAGTAACCGTTTCCTTCCGTTGTTGAAATTGATGACAGAAAACAACATAGTAGAATGGAATAGAATATTTTTATTACCCATTTTATTATAAATTTTAAATAACACTTATTGACAAAAACCATATTTTCATTTACAGAAAACCTCTGTCCTGAGAAGAACCAGTATGAAACCCAGCGTTACTTTTTATATGTGTAGTACAACTGAAATATTTAGGTCATATACACGTACATTATTAAAACAAAGGTAACAAGGTTTTTATGTAATTTATTATAAAATAATCAGTAGTTATCCTAATAGTTGCATATTCTAGTTTAAGGTATGATTGAATATCTAAGAGTTTCAAATTGTTTTGTCATATTCTTCTATGTCACGGAGGATGTTTAAAATACCTGTTTGAGAGAGCCTGAAAGTCAGCTCGGGTAATTAGTCGTAGAATCGTTCCTAGAAATTTCGTCAACTTAAGAATATTAAACAAATTTAACCTTGTGGGAGAAAATAGTTTAAATAAATTTTAAATTAGTAATTAATAAAATGGATTTGTAATTAGAGTAATTAATATGATATAATACTTCACACGGCCACGTGTGACGAATGTGGTTTAGCAATATAGACAGATATTCTCTAAATTTCTCGACAAGACAGACTTCGAAATGAGGATATTCTGAGTAAAACCAGATTAACCAATATAGTCCAAAATTTTAGTAAGTTGAACTGGCAATAGGTTAGCCATACTCCTCACGATACATGCTTGACTAGTTTAAGAACCCAGAATTGCACACCCTAGATTATAAACTCTATCTCAGTTGGTATAATAAGATTATGATCATATACTAGAGAATTAAGACTAATTTACTTTCATTTTATTATCTTTTTTGTGTATCTGTACAACCTTTAGCTGTATAAATAAACATTTTTTCACTTTAAATTTTCTTATGGTTTGAATAACAGACAACGATTCTTAACGGTAGTAAAAAGTAGAACGACCCCTACTAGAGAGAGTGACGACCTTGTAAGAAATTAAAGAAGAAAGAAAGAAACCTTTATTTCGAATACGCCACACACATAATTAGACACGTAACATCTCATGGATGCCGTAATAGGCGATATAGGAAAACAAATCAGGAAATGGGCAACAGTCTCTTACTAATAACGACTAAAAATAAAAAAATGTCTGGTTGCCAATAACCCACTTGCCAAGCGTGGCAACAATGGCAAGTATCGCCCAACTATGGCAAATATGGCGCTAACTATAAGGGAGGCCTATGTTCATCAGAAAACTTTAATAGACCGTAAGGGTAAACACATCAAGATGATAATAATTTTTTTTGCTTTTTCGAGAAAAAAATTAATCCAGTTTTCAACACGACTATAAGGAAAACAAGAAATATTAAGTATTTATAAGCTTCCCATAGGTGGTAGAATAACCATCAAGCTTACGACAGACTTAAATTTCTCAAATCTAAGATGCGAGACGTATGCTATTGCATATTCGCTTTTTAAGTATGGTGAATATAAGAATCCTTCAGCGAAATAGTCTATTGTCTAGAAGTTGACTTAAGAATTGTAAAAGAAAGAGAAATAATGGGCTTATAAGAACATTTGTTTACAAAAAAGCTTCTCCGAGGAATGTCAGTTCTTAATAATTAAGTTCGTTATTATTTTCCTAACAATAATATTCATATCAATATTATGAAGGTTTCTTCTTCATTTTCATCAGTCACAAAAACTCCATCGCTATTCATTGACCTTTCCCGTTATAAAGAGTGATGAAAATCGGTGACAGTACCAGACTTCTCACACCTTTGACGCGGCTCTCGTTGCCAGACTGGGATATACGCCTAGTGTAAACGAGTATAACCATCCTTTATGCTTATCGGAAGCTATAAGACTTCTTAGCTAGGCTGACATTTTCCAATTATTGTCTAATCCGACGCCTGAAAGACGAAACGAGGTATTAGATGCTTTCACTCTGCCACCAAACGTCATTATTATGACCGACGGTTTAATATTTTCAAAGCTTCCTCCAATTTAGGAGGTTTAAAGTAGAAATTTTAAGATAATTTTTTTTGGCGGTAGGTGTGAAATAAAGTGCACATTGCTCTAAGTAACAAAATAATTTTTATTGATATTTTAAGTAATTTACAGTTTCCTAGTTTACAGTTTTTACTATTTTTGTGTATTTAAATACATACATTGTGGGCTTACCTCCCCTTAATGATTAAGCTGTGATAAAGTCACATCACCCTACCACCTGCCACTTTCAACTCTCACAACACACCAGAAGATAAGTTTTCCAGAAAATGTCCACTATTGCCGAGTTAGCAAATATCCAAAAGGCTGCGTTAACTTCTCTCAATCAACGTATGGCGGAATTTGAAGCACTTATAAATCACTTATAAATCTGCCACCACGGCTCCTGACATGAAATCTCTTTCAAGCGATTTTCAAACGTTTAAGGATAATGTTTGGCAAATCATGTCACTACCACACCAGAAGATCAATGAGGTTAGTCAAAATGTTGACAATATTGAGATCGGAGAAAATATTTGCTGCTATATGGAGTTCCGGAATCATCTGATGAAAACATCTTAGATAAAGTTGTAACTGTCCTGCAGGATAAGCTTCAACTGCAGGAATTTTCTTCAAGCTCCATTATGGCTTGCCATCGTCTAGGTGCAGTATCGGAAGCTCGTGCAAGAAAAGTTCTTATTCTGTTTAGTGATCTGTCCATTAAGTCAACCATTTGGGCCAAAAAGACTCTGTTAAAAGGCACTTCATATGTGCTGTCCGAGTTTCTTACTCGTCAGCGTCAAGGTTTATTCATTGCTGCACGTAAGCACTTTGGTATTAGACAAGTTTGGTCACTCGATGGTAATATACACGTCAAGTTGCCTTGTGGTAAGCGCCATCGGCTGACGGACACCAAGGATCTCGATGAGCTCATTACACAGTATGAACAGCCTGCTGCATACCATCTGATTCTACGTCGAAGAAAGTGTCACCAAATGTTAACAGTGGTAGTGCACCAAAGTCGACGGTGAGGTCCAAACGCGTAATTCGCAACAAATAACTCTCATCGACTTTATTCTCATGTTGGATTTAATTTGTAAGCTGTCATGTGTATTTGTTATTTGTCTCATTATTATTGATAACAACTGGGCATATTTGTTATGATACTGTAATAATTGTAACATAATAACTTTTATTTATCTACATATTAAGTAATTTTTTTATTAACTGGCTTTACGGCTTTTGGTTCTAGCCCTTCTGAGCATAAGTAATATTTTACTGAACTAAAACCATAGATAACGTATTATAACTAAGACATAATATTCACAGATGTCAGATGACATAGACAGATGGTTATGTTTTTTGGTTTTGGTTACATGGCTTTCTGCCATACTAACTCTTTTAAATTTTTAAAAAAAAGAAAAAAATTTACATTACTATTGACAGAATATGTACACAACTTATACTTGATTCAACTTTATTTTAGTTATATGTAATAATCTAGCCTAATTACTTATTACTTTGTTTTTTATTATATTTTCTTTATTTGTTTACTTTTAAATGCTTTGCTCGTTTATTGATTTTCTTTTTCTATTTTGTTTTAACTTGGCATTTGTTTTCTTTTATTTTCCTGATGTTATTTTTAATATTGTAAGCAGTTAGCCTGAGGGTGATGTATGGAGATATACATATATTTAGTTATTTTTTTGTAATAATCAGTTATATTTATTTGATATAATTTTATTATTTTAAATATTTATATATATTTAGTATTATTTTATTATATTATCATTATAATTTTATTATTTTAAATATTTTTATTTAATGTCAGATGATGAATCTTTTTATTCCACTTGAAACAGCTCCTCTTTCCTTTCACTTGTTGATGCTTCGGATGAGCCTGCCACGCTACGTACGCTAATATACGAAGAATTAAAAAAATTGGTAAACTATTTTCACATTCGCCATTTAAATGCACAAAGTATACCTCAACATCATATGGAGCTCCTGGATACTTTCTCTTCTAATGCAGTTCATGCTATACTCATATCTGAAAGCTGGCTCAAGCCAGAACTCTCTTCCATGTCTTATAGTCTTCCGGGTTATATTTTACTCCGTGACGACCGCACTGGTAAAAGAGGTGGAGGTGTCGCTATCTGTCTGAGTAGTAATTTACCTTATAAAATATTAAACACATCTTCTTCCCTATATTCCGGTTCAATGGAATACATTTTTATTAAAGTTAATGTCAAGAGTGTTAAGTGTTTCTTGGAGCTGTCTACCGTCCATCTCTAGTGGACTACTTCTCCGATTTGGAAGTAAATTTATCGCCTTACAGTTTTGCCTACACACATCACATTATCATGGGAGACTTTAACACTGACCTATCCGGGGTTTCTCGTAAATCTTTCAAACAGAGGTCGACCATGTTGTTGCACAATTTTACTATTTTGCCTCTAAATGCAACACATCACAACTTCCACTCTGCTGACACCTGGATCGACCTTATAGCCGTCTCCTCCGTTGATCACGTTGTCAATTATAGACAATTCCCTGCTTCTGAATTTTCACGGCATGACCTGCTTTATCTGTCATATAAATTAAAGTCTCCCAAGCCTTTATCTGTGTCCATCTCTATTCGTACTCTTGCTAGAATAGACATGGACAAGCTTAAATGCGATGCGGATGCTATTAATTGGTCATCTGTATATACTGCTTCCACAGTTGATGAAAAAGTCGAATTCTTTAACAGCAACATATTAGGACTGTATAATAATAATAATAATAATAATAATAATAATAATAATAATAATAATAACAACATATTAGGACTGTATAATAATAATAATAATAATAATAAATAATAATATAATTGGATGATGGAATACGGAAGAACGCGCAAAGGGCCGCTGCCTGGAGGTCGCCAGGGCGCGTCTGGAGCTGGCGCTGGACGCGGCAGCATGCGAACCGCCAGCCGAGCGCGAGGTGCTGCACGACCACCCAGCAGCCCCTCGCATCCATCATCCCCACCAGCTGGCTTGGTGTCGGCAGGGTCTTCGCGGGCCCAGCAATCGGCACCCGCCTCTGGTGGAGTACGCCGCATGCGTTGGACAACCCAGATGAACAGCAACGCATTGCGGGCGTATTTTGGGGCGAAAGGGGGAGAAACTGGATGTTTGGCGTATCGGGCTAGGATGCATCGTCTTTTTGCTGAGCTGGAGCCATCTTTAACCGTCACAGAGCAAAACCTGGCAGACCGAGTTCGGTATATCTTGCGCTCAAATATATTTGATGTCGCCGAACTCGAACGGCTACGACGTGAGGCTGTTCCCTCGTCGGATGAGAATGCTACGGCTGAGGATGCGGCGCCACAAATGGTAGAGCAACCCGCAAACGTGGATGCCGCCGTGAATACCCCAGTTGTGGTTGATTCAAACGATGATGGAACAGTCGCCCAGGAACTGGAATTAGAGCATATGAGGAGTACATTGGAAGAGGCGATTGTGGAAACGCGCAGTACGCCTCTCGAAAATCGACCGCGACTTCCCCGCATAGCCCTAAGCAAGCGGAATCGGGCTGTCGTGAGGGCTCTGAACCCAATGCTGGTGACCTATTTGGAAGCCAGCCGGGACCTTTGCGAGACGGACTCAATTCTTTTTGGCGCCGCGCTGGCAGTCTGCCGTATCATAGGCGCCAAGGTTTCCACGGCTGGACGCGCTACTGGCCATAGTAGCGCTATCCCAGCATGGAGAAGAAGAATTGAGGAACGTATCGCAAAGGCTAGAGCTCTCATCGGCAGACTGATATGCTTCAGATCAGGCAACAACAGGCCAAGAATTGTGCGCACCGTCAGGATGGCGTTTGCTGGGACAAATGTCAGTTTGTCCCAGCCGGATATAACGCAAAAACTGACGGAGCGCATAGATGATCTGAAGCAGAGAATCGCTGCTTGGGGAAAACGGATTCGGCGATATACCGAGAGGTCGACACGGTTCAACCAGAATCGTCTCTTCCAGAGTGATCAGAAGAGGCTCTATGAATCATTGGAGCGACCAATGGTAAGTGGAACGGGTCCAGCACCGAATCAGGCCGACACTGTAGCATTCTGGCGCGGCCTGTGGTCAGAGCCCGTAAACCACAGCGAGGGCCCTTGGACGGAAGTTGTGGCGAGTCAGTGTGCGGGTATTACGCCCATGGACCCCGTCATCATAACGCCGGATGACGTAGCTGAGGCGGTCCGTAGGGCCCCGAACTGGAAAAGTCCGGGGCTTGACGGGCTGCATCACTACTGGCTGAAGGGGTTCATGGTGTGTCACTCTGTGCTTGCCCGACAGTTTCAAGAGGCTCTCAACCAGAAGTCGCTCCCAAGCCTCTTCACTACTGGGATCACTCATTTGGTTCCTAAAGACCAGGGTACCACAGACCCGAGCAAATACCGCCCCATCACGTGTCTACCGACCATATACAAGACACTAACATCCATTTTGAGCGCGAGAATCACTTGTCACCTGGACTCAAATCAGGTGATGTCGCGCGCTCAAAATGGATGTCGGGGCGGTGGTCGTGGAACCAAGGAACCACTCCTCATTGACGCGGTCATTGGCAAAGTGGTGAAACGCAACCGTCGGAACTTCTCCGCCGCCTGGATAGACTACAGAAAGGCATTCGACTCGGTGCCCCATACATGGCTAAAGAGAGTCCTCGAGCTGTACAAGATAGACTGTACAGTTAGAGACTTCCTTGAGCAGTGTATGGGGCAGTGGAGTACGATCCTTTGTCATCTGGGCGAGCGGATGATGGCTGCGGAGAACCACATAAGGATAAGAAGGGGTATCTTCCAGGGCGATTGTCTGAGTCCAATCTGGTTCTGCCTCTCTCTGAACCCTCTCAGTACCTTACTGGAGGGCTCCGGGAGGGGATTTCAGCTACGGAGAGGAGGGACAAAAGTGACCCACCTTTTCTATATGGATGACCTCAAGTTATTCGCCTCCAGTCGCTCCCATCTTATGGAATTGCTAAACATCACTTGTGAATTTAGCAATTCCATTGGAATGGAGCTGGGGACGGATAAGTGTGCGGTCCTCCATGTTGAAAGGGGAAGGGTTGCTAACTCTGAGGGCGTAGACTTATCTATGCCCGTCAACTTAAGGACCCTTTCCGAGGCTGAAACATACCGATACCTGGGTATGTCACAAAACATCGGTATCGATGAGACTGGTATGAAACAGTCAGTTTGCGACGTGTTTTATGCACGCTTGACCAAAGTGCTTAACAGCCTTTTGTCCGGTGTGAATAAGGCACACGCATATAACGGCTGGGTCATGCCTGTCCTCATGTATACCTTTGGCATACTCAGGTGGACTCAGACTGAACTTAACGCCCTGGATAGAAAAGTCCGCACTACCATGACGTCCCATAGGATGCATCATCCGAGATCGTCGGTAATGAGGCTGTACTTGCCGCGGAAGCATGGTGGTCGTGGCTTCTTGAGCGCGCTCACCATGCATAATCGCGAAGTGTGCAGCCTCCGTGATTACTTCCTGGCGAGATCGGATGATCCATTCTATATGGACGTCATTTCTTGTGATAAAGGACTTACCCCTCTATCCTTAGCCAACGAGCAATGGCAAGACCCGGCAGTGCAGAGCATTTCCGACCGGGAGACCGTATGGAAGGAGAAGGAGCTCCACGGGAGGTTCTACAAGGCTCTACATGAGCCTTTCGTAGACACAGTAGCCTCCCTCCACTGGCTACGCTTTGGTGATCTCTTCGGGGAAACCGAGGGTTTTGTCTGTGCAATACAGGATCAGGTTATTAAGACCAACAACTATCGGAGATACATCCTAAAGGATGGCACCGTCGACATCTGTCGAGCTTGTCGCCATCCCGGTGAGTCACTTAGGCATGTTATCTCCGGTTGTTCGGCGCTTTCTAACTCTGAGTACTTGCACAGGCACAACCTAGTAGCCAGAATTCTACACCAGGAGCTCGCTCTGAAATACGGTCTCGTGGACCGGAAATTGCCGTATTACAAGTACTTGCCGGAAGCCGTGCTCGAAAATGATCGCGCCAGGCTCTATTGGGACCGGGCCATCATCACAGACAGGACTATTCTTGCGAATAAGCCTGATATTGTGCTGATGGACCGGGCACAGTCAAGGATATTTTTGGTCGACATTACCATTCCGTATGACGAGAACCTCGTGAAAGCCGAAACAGACAAGCAAACAAAATATCTGGACCTGGCTCACGAGGTGACCGACATGTGGGGTGGTCTGCCGACCGAAATTATTCCTGTAGTCGTCTCTGCAAACGGGCTAATCCCAGTCAGCCTCTCGGGTCATCTGAGGCGGCTGGGACTACGTGGCGGACCGCTCCAGGTTCAAATGCAGAAGGCGGTGCTCCTCGATACCGCCCGCATCGTCCGCCGGTTTCTTTCCCTTTCCCCCCTAACCCTCGGCCGTTTGGTCTCCCCTGCCGAGGGCCTCCATCTGGTTGGGCTTTTATTTATTTATGTACTTTTATATTTATTTTATGTTATTGATATTTATGTATATTTATTTTTTCATTTTCATTTATAATTATATATTTATAGAACCCAACCAGATGAGAAAACTATATAGATACCCCATAATAATAATAATAATAAGGCGTAGGGAAGTGACGACCCCATCGCCCGCTGATATAACGGTTATGTGACAAAACCGCTACGTCGGCGCAGTCAGTCAGCACCTTGCCAAGAGGTGTTAGTGCCGTGCCTCGGCAAAAATTGAAGGTGCCAAGGCCCGCTTGTGCACATGGCCTAACCATGAAACGGCGCCGGGTCTGGGCGTCTCCCGCTAAATGACGCCCTAAAATGGATGATGGAATCAAATGGAACGCGCAAAGGGCCGCTGCCTGGAGGTCGCCAGGGCGCGTCTGGAGCTGGCGCTGGACGCGACAGCATGCGAACCGCCAGCCGAGCGCGAGGTGCTGCACGACCACCCAGCAGCTCCTCGCATCCATCATCCCCACCAGCTGGCTTGGTGTCGGCAGGGTCTTCGCGGGCTCAGCGATCGGCACCCGCCACTGGTGGAGTACGCCGCATGCGTTGGACAACCCAGATGAACAGCAACGCATTGCGGGCGTATTTTAGGGCGAAAGGGGGAGAAACTGGAGGTTTTGCGTATCGGGCAAGGATGCATCGACTTTTTGCTGAGCTGGAGCCATCTGTAACCGTCACCGAGCAAAACCTGGCAGACCGAGTTCGGTATATCTTGCGCTCAAATACATTTGATGTCACCGAACTCGAACGGCTACGACGTGAGGCTGTTCCTTCATCGGGTGAAAATGCTGCGGCTGAGGATGCGGCGCCACAACTTGCTGAGCAAACGGCAAATGTGGATGCCGCCGTGAATACGCCAGTTGTGGTTGATTCAAACGATGATGGAACAGTCGCCCAGGAACTGGAACTAGAGCAAATGAGGAGTACATTGGAAGAGGCGATTGTGGAAACGCGCAGTACGACTCTCGAAAATCGACCGCGACTTCCCCGCTTAGCCCTAAGCAAGCGGAATCGGGCTGTCGTGAGGGCTGTGAACCCAATGCTGGTTACCTATTTGGAAGCCAGCCGGGACCTTTGCGATACGGACTCAATTCTTTTTGGCGCCGCACTGGCAGTCTGCCGTATTATAGGTGCCAAACTTTCCACGGCTGGACGCGCTACTGGACAAAGTAGTGCTATCCCAGCCTGGAGAATAAGAATTGAAGAACGTATCGCAAAGGCTAGGGCCCTCATCGGCAGACTGATATGCTTCAGGTCAGGCAATACCAGGCCAAGGATTGTGCGCACCGTCAGGATGGCGTTTGCTGGGACAAATGTTAGTTTGTCCCAGCCGGATATAATGCAAAAACTGACGGAGCGCATAGACGACCTGAAGCAAAGAATAGCTGCTTGGGGAAAGCGGATTCGGCGATATACCGAGAGGTCGACACGGTTCAACCAGAATCGTCTCTTCCAGAGTGATCAGAAGAGGCTCTATAAATCATTGGAGCGACCAATAGTAAGTGGAACGGGCCCTGCACCAAATCAGGCCGACATGGTCGCATTCTGGCGCAGCCTGTGGTCAGAGCCCGTAAACCACAACGAGGGCCCTTGGACGGAAGTTGTGGCGAGTCAGTGTGCGAGTATTACGCCCATGGACCCCGTCATCATAACGCCGGATGACGTAGCTGAGGCGGTCCGTAGGGCCCCGAACTGGAAAAGTCCGGGGCTTGACGGGCTGCATCACTACTGGCTGAAGGGGTTCATGGTGTGTCACTCTGTGCTCGCCCGACAGTTTCAAGAGGCTCTCAACCAGAAGTCGCTCCCAAGCCTCTTCACTACTGGGATCACTCATTTGGTTCCTAAAGATCAGGGTGCCACAGACCCGAGCAAATACCGCCCCATCACGTGTCTACCGACCATATACAAGACACTAACATCCATTTTGAGCGCAAGAATCGCTCGTCACCTGGACTTAAATCAGGTGATGTCGCGCGCTCAAAATGGATGTCGGGGCGGCGGTCGTGGAACCAAGGAACCACTCCTCATTGACGCGGTCATTGGCAAAGTGGTGAAACGCAACCGTCGGAACTTCTCCGCCGCCTGGATAGATTACAGAAAGGCATTTGACTCGGTGCCCCATACATGGCTAAAGAGGGTCCTCGAGCTGTACAAGATTGACTGTACAGTTCGAGACTTCCTCGAGCAGTGTATGGGGCAGTGGAGTACGATCCTCTGTCATCTAGGCGAGCGGATGACGGCTGCGGAAAGCCGCATAAGGATAAGAAGGGGTATATTCCAGGGCGACTGTCTGAGTCCAATCTGGTTCTGCCTCTCTTTGAACCCTCTCAGTACTTTACTGGAGGGCTCCGGGAAGGGATTTCAGCTTCGGAAAGGAGGTACAAAAGTGACCCACCTTTTCTATATGGATGACCTCAAATTATTCGCCTCCAGTCGCTCCCATCTTATGGAATTGCTAAACATCACGTGTGAATTTAGCAATTCTATTAGAATGGAGCTGGGGACGGATAAGTGTGCGGTCCTCCATGTTGAAAGGGGAAGGGTTGCTAACTCTGAGGGCATAGACTTATCTATGCCCGTCAACTTAAGAACCCTTTCCGAGGCTGAAACATACCGATACCTGGGTATGTCACAGAACATCGGTATCGATGAGGCTGGTATGAAACAGTCAGTTTGCGACGTGTTTTATGCACGCTTGACCAAAGTGCTTAACAGCCTTTTGTCCGGTGTGAATAAGGCACACGCATATAACGGTTGGGTCATGCCTGTCCTCATGTATACCTTTGGCATACTCAGGTGGACTCAGACTGAACTTAACGCCCTGGATAGAAAAGTCCGCACTACCATGACGTCCCATAGGATGCATCATCCGAGATCGTCGGTAATGAGGCTGTACTTGCCGCGGAAGCATGGTGGTCGTGGCTTCTTGAGCGCGCTCACCATGCATAATCGCGAAGTGTGCAGCCTCCGTGATTACTTCCTTGCGAGATCGGATGATCCATTCTATAAGGACGTCATTTCTTGTGATAAAGGACTTACCCCTCTATCCTTAGCCAACGAGCAATGGCAAGACCCGGCAGTGCAGAGCATTTCCGACCGGGAGACCGTATGGAAGGAGAAGGAGCTCCACGGGAGGTTCTACAAGGCTCTACATGAGCCTTTCGTAGACACAGTAGCCTCCCTCCACTGGCTACGCTTTGGTGATCTCTTCGGGGGAAACCGAGGGTTTTGTCTGTGCAATACAGGATCAGGTTATTAAGACCAACAACTATCGGAGATACATCCTAAAGGATGGCACCGTCGACATCTGTCGAGCTTGTCGCCATCCCGGTGAGTCACTTAGGCATGTTATCTCCGGTTGTTCGGCGCTTTCTAACTCTGAGTACTTGCACAGGCACAACCTAGTAGCCAGAATTCTACACCAGGAGCTCGCTCTGAAATACGGTCTCGTGGATCGGAAATTGCCGTATTACAAGTACTTGCCGGAAGCCGTGCTCGAAAATGATCGCGCCAGGCTCTATTGGGACCGGGCCATCATCACAGACAGGACTATTCTTGCGAATAAGCCTGATATTGTGCTGATGGACCGGGCACAGTCAAGGATATTTTTGGTCGACATTACCATTCCGTATGACGAGAACCTCGTGAAAGCCGAAACAGACAAGAAAACAAAATATCTGGACCTGGCTCACGAGGTGACCGACATGTGGGGTGGTCTGCCGACCGAAATTATTCCTGTAGTCGTCTCTGCAAACGGGCTAATCCCAGTCAGCCTCTCGGGTCATCTGAGGCGGCTGGGACTACGTGGCGGACCGCTCCAGGTTCAAATGTAGAAGGCGGTGCTCCTCGATACCGCCCGCATCGTCCGCCGGTTTCTTTCCCTTTCCCCCTAACCCTCGGCCGTTTGGTCTCCCCTGCCGAGGGCCTCCATCTGGTTGGGCTTTTACTTATTTATGTACTTTTATATTTATTTTATGTTATTGATATTTATGTATATTTATCTTTTCATTTTCATTTATAATTATATATTTATAGAACCCAACCAGATGAGAAAACTATATAGATACCCCATAATAATAATAATAATAATAATAATTAACAGCCTTTTGTCCGGTGTGAATAAGGCACACGCATATAACGGCTGGGTCATACCTGTCCTCATGTTACCTTTGGCATATAGGTGGACTAGACTGAACTTAACGCCCTGGATAGAAAAGTCCGCACTACAATGACGTCCCAGGATGCATTGAGATGTCGGTAATGAGGCTGTACTTGCCGCGGAAGCATGGTGGTCGTGGCTTCTTGAGCGCGCTCACCATGCATAATCGCGAAGTGTGCAGCCTCCGTGATTACTTCCTGGCGAGATCGGATGATCCATTCTATAAGGACGTCATTTCTTGTGATAAAGGACTTACCCCTCTATCCTTAGCCAACGAGCAATGGCAAGACCCGGCAGTGCAGAGCATTTCCGACCGGGAGACCGTATGGAAGGAGAAGGAGCTCCACGGGAGGTTCTACAAGGCTCTACATGAGCCTTTCGTAGACACAGTAGCCTCCCTCCACTGGCTACGCTTTGGTGATCTCTTCGGGGAAACCGAGGGTTTTGTCTGTGCAATACAGGATCAGGTTATTAAGACCAACAACTATCGGAGATACATCCTAAAGGATGGCACCGTCGACATCTGTCGAGCTTGTCGCCATCCCGGTGAGTCACTTAGGCATGTTATCTCCGGTTGTTCGGCGCTTTCTAACTCTGAGTACTTGCACAGGCACAACCTAGTAGCCAGAATTCTACACCAGGAGCTCGCTCTGAAATACGGTCTCGTGGATCGGAAATTGCCGTATTACAAGTACTTGCCGGAAGCCGTGCTCGAAAATGATCGCGCCAGGCTCTATTGGGACCGTGCCATCATCACAGACAGGACTATTCTTGCGAATAAGCCTGATATTGTGCTGATGGACCGGGCACAGTCAAGGATATTTTTGGTCGACATTACCATTCCGTATGACGAGAACCTCGTGAAAGCCGAAACAGACAAGCAAACAAAATATCTGGACCTGGCTCACGAGGTGACCGACATGTGGGGTGGTCTGCCGACCGAAATTATTCCTGTAGTCGTCTCTGCAAACGGGCTAATCCCAGTCAGCCTCTCGGGTCATCTGAGGCGGCTGGGACTACGTGGCGGACCGCTCCAGGTTCAAATGCAGAAGGCGGTGCTCCTCGATACCGCCCGCATCGTCCGCCGGTTTCTTTCCCTTTCCCCCTAACCCTCGGCCGTTTGGTCTCCCCCTGCCGAGTGCCTCCATCTGGTTGGGCTTTTATTTATTTATGTACTTTTATATTTATTTTATGTTATTGATATTTATGTATATTTGTCTTTTCATTTTCATTTATAATTATATATTTATAGCACCCAACCAGATGAGAAAACTATATAGATACCCCAAAATAATAATAATAATAATAATAATATAATAATAATAATAACTGGAAAAGTCCGGGGCTCGACGGGCTGCATCACTACTGGCTGAAGGGGTTCATGGTGTGTCACGCTGTGCTCGCCCGTCAGTTTCAAGAGGCTCTCGACCAGAAGTCGCTCCCTAGCCTCTTCACTACTGGGATCACTCATTTGGTTCCTAAAGACCAGGTTACCACAGACCCGAGCAAATACCGCCCCATTACGTGTCTACCCACCATATATAAGACACTGACATCCATTTTGAGCGCGAGAATCACTCGTCACCTGGAGCTAAATCAGGTGATGTCACGCGCTCAAAATGGAGTGGGGCGTGGTCGTGGAACTGGAACCACTCCTCATTGACGCGGTCATTGGCAAAGTGGTGAAACGCAGTCGGAACTTCTCCGCCGCCTGGATAGACTACAGAAAGGCATTCGACTCGGTGCCCCATACATGGCTAAAGAGAGTCCTCGAGCTGTACAAGATAGACTGTACAGTTAGAGACTTCCTCGAGCTGTGTATGGGGCAGTGGAGTACTATCCTTTGTCATCTGGGCGAGCGGATGATGGCTGCGGAGAACCACATAAGGATAAGAAGGGGTATCTTCCAGGGCGATTGTCTGAGTCCAATCTGGTTCTGCCTCTCCCTGAACCCTCTCAGTACCTTACTGGAGGGATCCGGGAGAGGATTTCAGCTACGGAAAGGAGGGACAAAAGTGACCCACCTTTTCTATATGGATGACCTTAAGTTATTCGCCTCCAGTCGCTCCCATCTTGTGGAATTGCTAAACATCACTTGTGAGTTTAGCAGTTCCATTGGAATGGAGCTGGGGACGGATAAGTGTGTGGTCCTCCATGTTGAGAGGGGAAGGGTTGCTAACTCTGAGGGCATAGATTTATCTATGCCCGTCAACTAAGGACCCTTTCCGAGGCTGAAACATACCGATACCTGGGTATGTCACAGAACATCGGTATCGATGAGGCTGGTGTGAAACAGTCAGTTTGCGACGTGTTTTATGCACGCTTGACCAAAGTGCTTAATAGCCTTTTGTCCGGTGTGAATAAGACACACGCATATAACGGCTGGGTCATGCCTGTCCTTATGTATACCTTTGGCATACTCAGGTGGACTCAGACTGAACTTAACGCCCTGGATAGAAAAGTCCGGACTACCATGACGTCTCATAGGATGCATCATCCGAGATCGTCGGTAATGAGGCTGTACTTGCCGCGAAAGCATGGTGGGCGTGGCTTTCTGAGCGCGCTCACCATGCATAATCGCGAAGTGT